AAAACAAGGAGAAATTAACCATTCCCCCTCCTTCCTCTCACCAACTCCTATATGCATCCGAAGAAGTGGGCTGTAGTCCACGAAAGCTTATGCTCTAATAAATTTGTTAGTCTCTAAGGTGCCACAAGTACTCCTGTTCTTCTTTTTGCGGATACAGACTAACCTGGGTCAGGAAAGTATCTCACAGCATAAAATCACCTCACAGATGGTTCCTGGGTTTCCAGACCACCAGGTTATTGAAGAAGCTGTTTAGCCGAGGGAATAAAGGACAGAAACAGGGACTGAGCTAAATCCACACATCCCCAACTGAAGGCTCACTAACTGCAGCATGGTGCTGTTCTGGAAGGCCAGCATGTGCGGGGTTTTGAGGGGAATCCAGCAGCTTGTGGAATATCAGGGCGAGGGAGCACTAGGCCTCACGGCAGGAAAATCAGACCAGTCAGTGGCTCCTCTTGGAAGCCCAGCAAGGACCTCTAAGATGTCCTGGACTGACACAGTAACAGCAAGATCAGCTACTGACAATTGACAGGCCACATGCTCCAGCCACACTCATCCCTGAGGCCAATGGAAACCCACCATCCTTATCAAGAAGCTGCCAATAACAATGCTGCTGAGTACTGGGCCACCCTCCTGAATAAGTCCCCTTTCCCCCACGCCTAGCGCAGTGCACGCTGGGAGCCAGAAAGCGGTCTTGCTGCAGCCAGAAAACACCGGCCCTCCCACCTCCCTGGGCTGTGGTTATTCTTCATAAATAAATAAGCGATTGTCCGACATCCCCAAGCCCGTGTTCTTGCCTGGCTGCCAAAGTGGATGCTTCATTAAGCACGGTGGGAGGCAGCCGTCTGGATGCCTTACAGTGCGCGTCCGTGAGAGGAGCCTCCGAATGACACCCGTCCCCAAACCGCCGCTTACTGCTGCTGCGTCTGGAGCTCAGTTGGGGGGTGAGAGCGGGGGTGGGGAGAGTGTGTTGTCAGCAAGAGTCGCTTGGATACTCCATAGCAGGTAAACCTCTCCATGCTGCCAGAGCAACTCATTGGTCTCAGCCCGCATAGGCCCAAAGCAGGAAGCAAGTGGATCCTTTCACCCCTAACGGTGACCACAAACGTGTCACAGACAAATTCCTACCCAGCTGGTGGTTGATTTACATGACTCTCCCACATCAGTAGCTTTATATTAAAATCAGCCCCCAACTCTCCCTAAGGCTACTTTATATGCCTGTGATGGCTCAGTGCTCCCCACCCCCACTGTGACAGGGAGCTGGTGACTTTCTCCTGATGCTTTCCTTCAAAGTGAAACCGGAGCCTGTCAAGCTCCTCCAGGGTGCTGTTAACTGGGCTCCCATGGGGCCTCTCCCACCTCTGGCCCCATACGGGGCACCGGGATCTACTGTCACTTGGGCCACCTGGGGCTCTTAGGCTCAATCCGAGCTCTGAAGGGCATATGGCATAAATCCATGTTACTGGGCAAGTGCCTCTTCACTAGCAAACGTGCTCTAAAACCCCTGAAACGGGATCGATAGACTCAAGAGTTCCAAGGGCCAAAGGAGACAGTTGCCACCTGAAGCTCTCCACCACCGCTCTTTGGCTAGCAAAGAGGTTATGCCCTGTCATGCAAGGTGGCTGCAAGAGCAGTGAGCTAATGCCCAGGCAGAGAAAACCTCTCCCTGGCTGCAGTCTGGCACCAGCCTTTCCAAGTGCCCTGTCGTCATCCTCCTGTCTGAAGGAATGCAGCAGCCACTGCCTCTCTAGCCAGAGGCTGGTTAATGGCAGGAATGACCATGGGATTGAGGGCACTAGGCGGGGGAGGACTAGCCCACCTCACCAGGCTCTCGGGCTTCCGCTTCCATTGAAACGCTTGGCATTTGCATTCCATACAGTAGCCCCATTGAGAACTGTAGGAATTGCGCCTGCACAGATGCACTATGGGTGTGGAAAGGAGGACTGGCCTCCCCCGAAGCGTAAGGCATTGGGCACTGTCAGAGATGGGACACTGGACTACGAAGACACGCAGCAGGAAAGCAGGCAGATTCCTTGCACAGGGCTGGAACTGGCCAAGTAGCAAGCAAGAGCACTATTCCCTGACAGCTGGAAACCCTCCTGGCACATCAGCCTCCCTTGAAACCTGCAACTGACCTTTTCTTAAACTGTTAGAGCACCTGGGAATTAGCCAGTTCCCTAAGGGTTAAACCTCCCACCTGAGTCAGCCTGCCATCCTCTGAACAGAGAGCACTCAGGGTGAGTGAGCCCTTAGGGAAGCTGATGGATTGCAGCCTCCTGTCTCACCTCCGAGATCAAAGCTGAGAGAGAACTGATCCTGCACCTCCCAGCAGGCTCCTGTTTACAGGGCAGCCTACAACTGAAACCTGAGCTGCTTCTCTCCAGCAGTGAGTCAGTGAGATGGAAGCAGAGGCAGGAGTCCTCAGGCTCAGTGCTAATCGATTTAACATTTCCACTCCCCACCAGCACCACCTCCCTGCACGCTAAGCCCAGGGTCCTACTACATGTCTGGTCCAGCAAGAACCTGACATGGATTAAAACCTAAATGTTCCTAAAATCCTGCAAAGAACTCTGTTCTACCAGTTACCTTACAGATGAGCAAAATTCAGATCTGGCCTTGGACTGCCCCTAAGTTCAGGGGTTTTTAGATCTGGCAGGCACTGGTTTTGCCCATTATAAAGATATTTGCAGAATCCAGATCACAATCGGGATTCAGACACCTCCAGAATTCAGGGATCTGGAGTGATGGTTCAGCCTCTCTAGTTAGTGTACATCAGGACCTAGATCTTCAAAAACAACTATTGATTTTAAGTTCCCCACCTGAAGCACTTCAAAGGAGTCTGATTTTTTAGCGGGCAGGTGTCCAGCACTTTCTGAACATCTAGACTTGATTTTAACAAATAGGGAGGAACTCGTTGAGAATTTGAAAGTAGAAGGCAGCTTGGGTGAAAGTGATCATGAAATCATACAGTTCACAATTCTAAGGAAGGGTAGAAGGTAGTACAGCAAAATAGAGAGAATGGATTTCAGGAAGGCGGATTTTGGTAAGCTCAGAGAGCTGATAGGTGAGGTCCCTCGGGAATCAAAACTGAGGGGAAAAACAACTGAGGAGAGTTGGCAGTTTTTCAAAGGGATACTATTAAGGGCCCAAAAGCAAGCTATTCCACTGAGTAGGAAAGATAGGAAATGTGGCAAAAGACCTCCTTGGCTTAACCACGAGATCTTGCATGATCTAAAAAATAAAAAGGAGTCATATAAAAAATGGAAACTAGGACAGATTACAAAAGATGAATATAAACAAACAGCACAGGAATGCAGGGGCAAGATTAGAAAGGCAAAGGCATAAAATGAACTCAAACTGGCTACGGGAATAAGGGGAAACAAGAAGACTTTATCAATACATTAGAAGCAAGAGGAAGACCAAGGACAGGGTAGGCCCACTGCTCAGTGAAGAGGGAGATACAGTAACAGGAAACTTGGAAATGGCAGAGATGCTTAATGACTTCTTTGTTTCGGTCTTCACCGAGAAGTCTGAAGGAATGACTAACATAGTGAATGCTAATGGGAAGGGGGTAGGTTTAGAAGATAAAATAAAAAAAGAACAAGTTAAAAATCATTTAGAAAAGTTAGATGTCTGCAAGTCACCAGGGCCTCATTAAATGCATCCCTAGAATACTCGAGGAGGTATCTGAGCCTCTAGCTATTATCTTTGGAAAATCATGGGAGACAGGAGAGATTCCAGAAGACTGGAAAAGGGCAAATATAGTGCCCATCTATAAAAAGGGAAATAAAAACGACCCAGGAAACTACAGACCAGTTAGTTTAACTTCTGTACCAGGGAAGATAATGGAGCAAGTAATTAAGGAAATCATCTGCAAACACTTGGAAGGTGGTAAGGTGATAGGGACTAGCCAGCATGGACTTGTAAAGAACAAATCATGTCAAACCAATCTGATAGCTTTCTTTGATAGGATAACGAGTCTTGTGGATAAGGGAGAAGCGGTGGATGTGGTATACCTAGACTTTAGTAAGGCATTTGATATGGTCTCGCATGATATTCTTATCGATAAACTAGGCAAATACAACTTAGATGGGGCTACTATAAGGTGGGTGCATAACTGGCTGGATAACCATACTCAGAGAGTAGTTATTAATGGTTTCCAATCCTGCTGGAAAGGTATAACAAGTG